CCTCGGCCTCCCAAAGTGCTGGGATTACAGGCATGAGCCACCGCGCCCGGCCAAAAAAAATTTTTTTTTTTGTAGAGATGGAGTCTCACTATGTTGCCTAGGCTGGTCTTGAATTCCTGGGCTCAAGCAATCCTCCTGCATCTGTAACCCCCCAATGGGTTCACCTCGCCTGCTGCCTAGACAGAGCCGACTTATCAAAACAGGGAAATTGTAATGGAGAAAGAGTAATTCACGCAGAGCCGGCTGTGCGGGAGGCCTTAGTTTTATTATTACTCAAATCAGTCTCCTTGAGGATTCAGGGATGAGAGTTTTTAAAGATAATTTGGTGGGTAGGGGCTTGGGAAGTGGGGAGTACTGATTGGTCAGGTTGGAGATGGACTCACAGGGAGCCCAAGTGAGTTTTTCTTGCTGTCTTTTGTTCCTGAGTGGGAAGGCAGAACTCACTGAGCCAGATTACAGTCTGGGTGATGTCAGCTGATCCATCCAGTGCAAGGTCTGCAAACTATCTCAAGCACTCATCTTAGGTTTTACAATAGTAATGTTATCCCCGCGAGCAATCTGGGGAGCCAGAGGCTGCATGACCTCCTAACCATAATTTCTAATTTTTTTTTTTTTTTTTTTTTTTTTGAGACAGAGTCTCGCCCTGTCGCCCAGGCTGGAGTGCAGTGGCGCAATCTTGGCTCACTGCAAGCTCCACCTCCCGGGTTCACGCCATTCTCCTGCCTCAACCTCCCGAGTAACTGGGACTACAGGCGCCCGCCATCACGCCTGGCTAATCTTTTGTATTTTTAGTAGAGACGAGGTTTCACCGTGTTAGCCAGGATGGTTTCGATCTCCTGACCTCATGATCCGCCCGCCTCAGCCTCCCAAAGTGCTGGGATTACAGGCTTGAGCCACCACGCCCGGCCCCTAATTTCTAATCTTGTAGCTAATTTGTTAGTCATCAAAGGCAGACTGGTCCCCAGGCAAGAAGGGCGTCTTTTGGGAAAGGGCTATTATCGGTTATGTTTCATAGTCAAACCATGAACTGAATTCCTTCCCAAAGTTAGTTCAGCCTATGCCCAGGAATGAGCAAGGACAGCTTAAGGGTTAGAAGCAAGATGGAGCCAGTTAGGTCTGATTTCTTTCATTGTCATAATTTCCTCAGTTGTAATTTTTGCAAAGGTGGTTTCACTTCAGCCTCCCAACGTGCTGGCATTACCGTCATGAGCCACTTTACCCAGTCTCCAACTGTTTCTTGACCTGACTGTGACTGCTGAATTCATTCTAATCCCTGACTTGCATCCGTGACTTGCATCTCTGGTCTCTGAACCACTTGACTTCTGGTATTTTCAACTGACGTTCAGTTTCTTCCAGATCCGTCTCCAAACATTACTTCTTCCTTGGCCTCTGATGACCCCAGTTAGTTTCTGACCTCTGACTCTGTCCCTTCCCTTGACTTCAGGCTTTCTCCCCTTCTATGAACCCTCTTTGAGGCATCCATGCCCTCTTTGTCTCTCCAGGGTTCCAATGCAGTTTCCTCAGCTCTTGGGGCCTGTTTGCTGCTCCGGGTGATGGCACGTTTGGAGCCTGATGCTGAGGAGGCAGCACGGAGGAAAGACCTGGCGATCAAGTTTGAGGGGATGGGCGTTGGTGCGTGGAGCATGGTGCCTGGGAGCAGGGACGGGGGCTGCCGCCAGGGGGGGAATGTGCATCTCCGCACTCCTCACATATCCCTGCGCCATCCCCTTAAATTCCCTTTCCTCTCCCTTCACACCCTCACCCTACTTCCCATCCCTGTCACATAACTAACTCCTCTGCCTCTAGACCTCTTTGGTGAGTGCTATCACAGCAGTGAGGTAAGGGCTGCCCGCCTCCTCCTCCGTCGCTGCCCGCTCTGGGGGGATGCCACTTGCCTGCAGCTGGCCATGCAAGCTGACGCCCGTGCCTTCTTTGCCCAGGATGGGGTACAGGTGAGTATCTGTGACATCAACATCCCAAACAGTCTCCAAGTGGACTCTGGGAAGTCCGGGGATGAGCCCCTGCCATTGGGAACATCTGTGGTCTTGACCAGCCCCTCTCCCTGGAGACTAGGCAGAAAGTCTCTCTTCTCTCTCAGAAAGGCTGCTCTTCCCATAAGAAGCCTCACTCCCTTCCACTAAAAGCCAACCTTCCCACGGCAAAGCCCATCCTCCTAAAAAGTTCCACTCCAGATACAGAAACTCCTGGTGACCCTATCAGGAAGTTCCACCTTTTACCTAAGAAGTCCTTCCCCCTTTCATGAAAGAGTCCATTTCTTTCAAAGGAAGTCCTAAGTCATCCACAGGAAGTCCCACGTCATCCACAGGAAGTCCCACGTCATCCACAGGAAACCCTTTCCACTTCTTTTAGAGGTCCCTAGTTTCAGTTCTCAGCAATTAGAATGGCCTCACTGAACAATTACCTTTTATTTTTGGACATAAACTTTGGCCTAGGAAATCCCACCCTTTCTATAGGAAATCGTCTGCCTTGGGAAGCCCCACTTGCTCCCACAGTCTCTCCGATCATGACAAGTTGACATTTTGGAAACATTATCAGTATTTTTAGTTTAAATCTGACAGGGGCTCAGAATCTCACTTCAGTACAGGAAGTTGTGCCCACCCAACAGGAAGTCCCATCCTCATCTGTTGGAATGGTTTGGCCCACATTTCAAACAGCTACCCAGAGTCCCTTGCTGTGGATAGTGGTTAAACTCATCCAGCTCTACCATATACAGGCTGTGTTTCTTTGGGCCATTTCCTTAACCTCTCTGTGCCTCATGTGTGCCGAGGAGGAGATACTAGTACCCACCCCCTTATGTGTCGAGGATCCAGTGGACTAATCTACATAAAATGCTTAGCCCTGTATCTGCCATATAGTGTCAATTTAAGTGTTGGTTGTTTACTGTCAAAACCTGGCCCAAGTTGTCTTTGCCTTTCACCACCGTTTCCCTACCTCAATAACTGTGGCTGTGACACTGGGCACTTGCTCTGTACTTTGGAGCTGTGGTCCAACCCTTGCTGGGCATCTTAGGGAGGGGGCTGTGGGGGATATTTGGATCCTAATCCTGCCTACCCCCCATAGTCTCTGCTGACACAGAAGTGGTGGGGAGATATGGCCAGCACTACACCCATCTGGGCCCTGGTTCTTGCCTTCTTTTGCCCCCCACTCATCTACACCCGCCTCATCACCTTCAGGTCAGTACCCTGGGGTAAGAGTGGTGGGGATGGGGGCGGGGTGCTCAGTTTCTCCTTCCTGCTCACTCTGCCCACCTTTCTTCCCTCATCTGCCCATTGTGTCCCTTCCCTGGGAATGGGACTCTCTCTCCATCCACTAAGGGAGTGCTGTGGGAGGTGAGTTTTGGGGGGATCCTCCCTGTGTCTCTAGTGGCAGTTACTCTGCCTTTCTGGCCATGGCTCTGGGGGAGGCTCCCTTTGGGGTGACTTTAGGAGACCACCTCTCTGTCTGTCTGCCACGTCTCTAGGTGAAGAAGTTTGAGTTTTGCTGGAGAATGCCTCTCCACCTCCTCTTCCCCTTATTTCTCACTCTGTGCTTCCCTCCTTGCCAGGAAATCAGAAGAGGAGCACACACGGGAGGAGCTACAGTTTGACATGGATAGTGCCGTTAACGGAGAAGGGCCTGTTGGGTGAGTGGAGCCCCCAGCACTGTGTGAGGTGGGGACATCCTGGGCAGTTCAGGACATGTGGCACTTCCACGTTGTGTTAGTCCCCTCTTGAGTTGCTACAAAGGAATACCTGAGACTGAGTAATTTATAAAGAAAAGAGGTTTCATTGGCTCATGGTTCTGCAGGTTGTACAGGAAGCATAGTGCTGGCATCTGCTGCTGGTGAGCCCTCAGGAAGCTTCCACTCATGGCAGAAAGTGAGGGAGGAGCCAGTGTATCACATGGCAAGAGCAGAAGCAGGAATAGGGGGTGCCACATAGATCTCATGTGAACTAACTGAGCAAAAAGTCACCAAAGGGATGGTGCTAAGCCATTTATGACGGACGCACCACCAGGACTCAAACACCTTCCCCAGGCCCAACCTCCAACATTAGGGATTACATTTCTTTCTTTCCTTTTCTTTCTTTCTTTCTTTCTTTCTTTCTTTCTTTCTTTCTTTCTTTCTTTCTTTCTTTCTTTCTTTCTTTCTTTCTTTCTTTCTTTCTTTCTTTCTTCTTTCTTTCTTTCTTTTTCTTCTTTCTTTCTTTTCTCTCTTTCTCTCTTTCTCTCTCTTTCTCTCTCTTTCTCTCTCTCTTTCTCTCTCTCTCTCCTTCCTTCCTTCCTTCCTTCCTTCTTGTCTTGTCTTGTCTTGTCTTTTTTTTCTTTTCTTTATTTTGATATGGAGTCTCCCTCAGTTGCCCAGGCTGGAGTGCAATGGTGCAGTCTTGGCTCACTGCAGCCTCTCTTTCCTGGGTTCCCGATCCGCCTGTCTCGGCCTTCCAAGTAGGTGGGAGTAGAGGTGTATGCCACTATGCCCAGCTAATTTTTGTATTTTTAAAGTAGAATCAGGATTTCACCATGTTGGCCAGGCTGCTGTTGACCTCCTGACCTCAAGTGATCCGCCCACTTTGGCCTCCTAAAGTGCTAGGATTACAGGTGTGAGCCAGCGTGCCCAGCCAGGGATTACATTTCTTCCTTTTTTATTTTTTTTGAAATGGAGTCTCGATCCATCGTCCAGGCTGGAGTGCAGTGGTGCAATCTCGGCTCACTGCAACCTCTGCCTCCTGGGTTCAAGCGATTCTCCTGCCTCAGCCTCCTGAATAGCTGGGACTACAGGCACCCACCACCACGCCCGGCTAACTTTTGTACTTTTAATAGTGACAGGGTTTCACCATATTGGCCAGGCTGGTCTTGAACTCCTGACCTTGTGATCCTCCCGCCTCAGCCTCCCAAAGTACTGGGATTACAGGTGTAAGTCACCGCGCCCGGCCCAGGGATTACATTTCAATGTGAGATTTGGAAGGGACGAACATCCAAACTATATCACACATCCCATCAGGGGCTGAGATACTGAGGAAGCTTCCCAAATGCCTAGTTCAAGGTTTGGCTCAAGATTTGGTTCTGCCATCAAGGAGGCCGTCACTGGAAATTGATTTGCTTCATGCTACACATACCTCCATCCCTCTGTAGCAAGTGGAATCAGTTCATTGAGGGATTTTTCACCTATTTTGCCCCAAGGCCCCTGCTTCTAATCACTATGCTATGGTCACCATAAAGGTATTTTAAAAAGCAGGTCTAAGTGAATGAAATAGAATATTTATCAAACTTTTTTTTTTTTTTGAGACGGAGTCTCGCTCTTGTCGCCCAGGCTGGAGTGCAGTGGCATGATCTTAGCTCACTGCAACCTCCGCCTTCCAGGTTTAAGCGATTCTCCTGCCTCAGCCTCCCTAGTCGCTGGGATTACAGGTGCACACCACACCAGGCTAATTTTTGTATTTTTAGTAGAGACGGGGTTTCGCCATGTTGGCCAGGCTGGTCTCAAACTCATGACCTCGGATGATCCGCCTGTCTCAGCCTCCCAAAGTACTCGGATTACACCGCTGGCCTCCCCTCCCCTCCCCTCCCCTCCC